TCTTACAAACTATGATTCACAGTGTTCTTTATCAATCTGTATAAAGATATGTATATCTTACACTAGGATCTACAGTGTTATTTATTAATTTATGTAAAGATGTTTATATCTTACAAACTTGGATTCATAGTGTTCTTTATAATCGTCTATAGAAAGGTGTCAACTTTACAAACTAGGATACACTGTGCTCTTCCTTTCAGGATAAGCTATGGTACTATGGAATTGAAACCAAAAAGTGGTAACAACTTATAGCTACTAAAAATGGCTAATGTTAAGTAGGTGTTTTAATGCTCATAACGTTTCGGTCTTGTACGACTTTTCTCTGGTGAGTTTTCGTGGTATACGTTTTCTTCACTTTCTTTTCGATAAGCCATGTATTACAGAACTTTTAAGATAATTGTATTTTTGTACACTTAAATCTGTGTGTTTCATTTATTTATTGTATTATTGTGCTGTAGAGTAACTAGAAATACACATGTAAATACATATATGTGCACCTGGTGTGAGTGTGAAAACATTTTTGAATCCTACCATAACGGATCTCAGCCCATAAATATAGAAAAACGGCTTATCGTGACGGAAGGGAACTTAATCTGCACGTGAAATACACACTAATCTCTTTAAGCAAGCTAATTTGGAAAATTCTTATAAATGTTTATTTATGCTTTTATATGTCCTACTTTGTTTCTCAGATACAGGAAGGTAACATGTACTGAAAAATACAAAACATGCCATAATAGTTAAAACCTAGATGTGTAGTGAATATACAGTCATTAATCAACTACAGTTTTCGTTTTATCTACGTTACCTTTTCCTAGAACTTATACAGATATCCAATCTCTACACAAAACTTTTCAAACTGAGAGCCCTTCATATCCCTTCTGTGACTCGAGGCTAAGTACGACGGCTCATAACGCTAAAAACCGGATTTCGATACCCGCAGAGCACAGAGAGCCCATTGTGAAACATTGTGCTTAACAACAAACAAAACTGTTATCATAAAAATGGCTTTGCAGAATTTAAATCTGTTTAACTGTTTGTATCTCTAATGAAAAGCAATGGTTGAAATTACAACCAAATATTTGGGTTATTATGACAGTATATGTAATATGAATTTATGCCAGAGTCACTACTTAACATACATTTATAGACGCACAGCAGTTTACACTAAGCTACAGATGTACAACGTTCACTAATACGAATACCTACATGAAAGTGGTACGTATCATACATAAATCTTATATTTAGAATAGACGTGTTTTTTCAGGTAGTCATATTATTTATTCAATGGGGGTGAACACCTTCAATAGATAACTAAACGTAAAATCGTTGCTATTTTTACTAAGCAACTTCTCGAAGACTACTTCCACAATCAACTATAGAGCTTCCCAGAAACTTAGCTTTATATTTTCTGTCTAAGACACTTACAAAGGAAAATTTAATTACGTTTCCTTGGGAACATAATAATATTATAATACTAAATGTACTTTCGCAGGGTCCCCGAAGGTGTTCTGTTCCAGGAGTAAATAAAACCAAAATTAAGAGTAAACAAATACTTTTATTTCTTGCTTTTCAAGTTCATATGTCATGTTGTGTTGCAGCCTACAGAGTGCATAATTCTTCTCGTGATTCATGGCATGCTCACGTTTTACTGACGTCACAACAGTACAATAGGCCTGTCAACTTTGCCGACTTCGGCGGAAGTTTCCGGATCTCCCGATATCAACCTTTTTAATATTTTAACAAAAAGAAAGGAGTAGTAAAATTCAACTTCACAGAGTGCCAACCAGGATAAAGTAAATATTTACCGTGTGATATGGTTGTACTTTGTTGTGTTATACTGTCTGCTTGTTCTACCACATTCCAATGGTGAGAACGATCGATTTAGGGCAGTATGTGCCCTTTTAACTCAGATTCCTCACCCAGCAAGCAAGTATTGAAAGATGCCAAAATTGCATCATACAAATATAACAAAAAACATTGGCAGATGACCATGATTCTCTTAGTATATAAGCCCACTGTAAATGAAAAAACAACAAAAACAACAACATAATTTCAATCTTATATGTGTAAATAAATGTTTGAACTTCCCAGAATGCATAAAAGTGGATATTTTTTTTCTAAATTTCTGGTGGAGCATGCCCCCCCCCCCAGGGAACGCTAATCGCTGTTGCAGTGCCTCCACAAAAGGTCTTCCGATTTGGCACCTTTCAATGTTGACAGGTATGGTACAAATTGTAACATTAAGCGTCCCTTATGTGATGTCATTTTAGTTTCTACTGACTGACTGACAGACGACATACTACTGTATAGTGGTTAAAACAGATGACCCTTCCAGGTGACCTTCGGCCCCCTTTCGGGGGTAATATATCAATGGAACTTCAGTAGAATTTGCAAGTTTTCTTTTTTCTTCATTTCGACCTTAATCTTAGCAAATTAGGGGTCAGCCGGTAACTGTTGTAAGCCAAGAGCGTTTTACACCCGGATGGCTAGCCCAGTCAACAATCATATGGGATGAGCGTGTTTGGTGGGAGGGATTCGAACTCGCGAACCTCAGGTTGCGAGCGAGTACTAATTTGCAACCGGTATTGTTGACTACTGTCAAAAATATACAATCGAGATTAATGTTCCCAAAACAAAACAAATTCTGTTTCAAAAATCAACTCAAACTTTTAGAAATCTTCCCGAATTATATCTCAACAGAGTTCTTCTAAATGTCTTTTCATCAGCTAAATGTCTTTGGAATAACTTATGATTCTAAATTAACCTGAAATAACCACATTACAGAAATAAATAAAAAACTCCTGGAAACGAGCAAATTTTGTTAACAGATTAACAGCTAAAAATACAGGAGCTACACCCGAGAACATACATACACAATATATTAGACCAATTACAGAATACGCATGTCCCGCTTGGACAAACTTTACAACTACACATATCAAAAAGCTACAAACAATTCAAAATTAGATAATAACTACAGCTTTTAGAGTACCAAGATATACAAATTCTACCTTCTTGCACAAATATTCAAACATTAAACCCATAAAACTTTGATAAAATCCAAGTAAAATTGATTTACTAACTGATGATGATGATGATAGAGTTAATTATCTCTCCCCACTCAATTTATTATAAGAACAAGTTTGTTTGTAGTTGAGCCCAAACCTACACAAAGGGCTATCTGTGCTCTGCCCACCACGGGTATCGAAACCCGGTTTGTAGCATTGTAAGTCCATAGCCATACCGCTGGGCCACAGGAGGGCAATATAAGAACAAGACTACCTACACTAACTAGACTTTAGAATTATCACTTCAATTTAGGTACCACTTGTGTGTTTAAAAGGGTATTTATGTCTAGTACGCGTTGGTAGCTATATTATGTGAAGCAAGGAACGGTTTGCTTCTGAACTGTTTGCTAACATAAACAACCAAATGAAGCGAAATACTCTAATATGAAGTGTTTATGAGTGTATGTAATCAAATTAAGAGATAGCACTAAATGCTACAAGTATATTAGTCAAGAACATGGCCCTGAAAAGGTGAAGCAAAATCAGTGTTTACCCAGTGTATCACATTTTATGAAACCTGATTCGCGGGTAATATCTGTAGCATTTAATTGCTCTTCAATAATAGTCACGGAGAAAGGATTTGTTTGTTTGGAATTAAGCACAAAGACACACAATGAGCTATCTGTGCTCTGCTCACCCTGGGTATCGAAACCCGGTTTCTAGCGTTGTAAGTCCGCAGACATACCGCTGTGCCACTGGGGGGCTCATGGAGGAAGGAGGAATTCTACTGGGAACCATACCTTCCCAACTCGCCCCCAACGATTGAATACCGATCCAGAACAGACAACGATTGCCTCAACCATCAGGCCATGCCAGGCCCAGCGATTAAGATACGAATCTTAAAACGATTACTGTAATATTCAAGTCTGATTAGCAGCTAATTCTAAATCTA